TGAGGGGCAGCCGGAGGGAGCGAGGCGCGCGCTTGTGTCCCCGCCAGCTCCCGCCTCGGCGTGAGGGCCTTTGGGTGCCCTTGGGAGGTTTGTGCGCGATACAGCCTTCCGACGACCGCGTCGGAAAATGGCTGGGGGGGGCTGGGGGCGCGTGTAAACCTGAGTTTTGCGTAGGAAAGTGGCTCTGTTGGCAACCGTGCCCGCGCTGCGTGCGTGCCCCGCTGCATCCTTCCTCGTGGGCCTGCCTGCTTGCTCCGTGCAAAGTTGTGCCTGGGCGACAGCGTCATAGCCCCTCGTTGCCCTGGATCATGAGGAGTATTTGTAATCACCACAAACAAACAGACAAAAGCAATCATAGAATCGTTTAGGTTGGAAGAGACCTTTAAGATCATCCAGTCCAACCATTCACCTACACTACCAAGTCCACACTAAACCAGTTAAGGGTAGAGTAGACTAAACCATGTCCCGAAGTGCAACGTCTACCCGTTTTTTGAACACTTCCAGGGATGGGGACTCCGACACCTCTCTGGGCAGCCTGTTCCAATGCTTGACCACCCTTTCCGTAAAGAAATTTTTCCTAATACCCAATCTAAACCTCCCCTGGCACAGCTTGAGCCCATTTCCTCTTGTCCTCTTGTCATGTACCGGCACTGAATTCTGTTACCAGAAGAAAACTCTCTAGTCTATTAAAAAAAATTACAAAATGTGAGATCCTAGGATGTCTTGATTATGAGGGGGTTGCGTAGATGCTGGCACATCAAACAAAACCAGGATTATTTTGTCTAGAAACAAAGATCCTTTCTAGACCCAGGCTGAATGTCATGAGTAGTGCGTAAGTTCAGATTGTGCTGTCATCTTTGCCTCTCTCTTTTTCATCTTGTTATTTGCTTCTCCGTCATCTGGTTGGACTGTTCTTCTTGCTGTATCTAAACACTGTACAAAACCACTTCTGTCTAGCACTGACGCAAACTTCCTTCCTTATCAAAGTCTCTAGTTCCATGTTGTTCTGTGTACCACAACACGTGTATGTTGCTATCGTCCAGTCTCTATTTTTTCCTGTTTCTTCTATTTTTTTTCTACTGTACGTATATGTTATGTTTAGCTTCGGTTTTACTATAAATAAACTTTGCAGGTTACCTGAAGATGAAGCTGCCTGAATTCTGCCAGAGCTACCAAGAGGCAGCTAGACTAGTTAAAGGGATATTTAAGTCAGGGATGGGAGTTACTGCTCTTCTTTCTGTAGCTTTCTGTATTCCCTGCCATAATCTTGGGACCTTTATTTTTCTCTTTAGCTACTGTCAGACCAAAAAATGAAGTGGAACAGAAGCAGCTATGTGCTTTTGGGGAGTACGTGGCTGAGATTCTGCCCAAGTATATCCAGCAAGTACAGGTAGGTGTGGTTCAAGAAATTATTCGGCAGAATGCGGGGGATGGGACAGGACAGGACCCAGTGAACACACTACTTGTTTGTTAGATGTTTTCAGAAGTTGTTCTGGGGAAGAAAGATTGTCAGAATTACATGAAAGTTACTGTTGTTATAAAGCCCTTTCATCTAATGTCATTATGTGTCTGCTCTACAATATACTCTCTTTGTTTAGGTGTCCTGCTGGATTCAATGTAATGTTCAGTCCTGTTGATATTTGTACTCATGCCCTTTCCACTGTTTTCATCAGGTGACCTGTTTCAATGAGCTGGAACTTTTGATCCATCCAGATGGGATCATTCCAGTTCTGACCTTCCTTCGAGATCACACTAATGCCCAGTTCAAATCCTTGGCTGACTTGACTGCTGTTGATGTCCCATCTCGGCAGTACCGTTTTGAGGTAAGAACTGCTCATAGGTGCAGGTCTTGGAGAGTTTCACAAGTGCTGATGGCTGCGGGTGCTGTTGCAGCTCTGACCACGTTTTTTGCTTTCTGACAGTGAAAAGAAAGTCCACTCTGAAATGCTGGGTTTTGTTTAATCTGTTGATCATGGAAGCAGTAGCAGAACTGATATTGCATGCATTCCTAGTCTGGCTTTCCTTTTGTGCTGTGCTGAAAGTCTCTCTCTTTTTTTTTTTTTTTTTTCTTTTTCCTTTTTTTAGTTGTGTTTTGGTTTTACTAAAGTGTCTAGAGACTTCTTTCTGGCCTGATGGAATTGGTGCTCTTCCTTCTTCCACTTAGGCCTGTCAGCTGCTGTTGATATAACTGATCATGTTTTCCTTTAAGTCCCATCAATCTTCTTAACAATTTTCCTCTTTTTAAAAAACGAAACAAAAAATGTTGTAAAAACATTCCCTGAAAGTTGGGACCAAATAGGAGACAAGGCATATTTTCAGAAAGCTCTCAGAAGATTTGGGGCACTGAACTTCCACTGACTTTCAGTGGATATTGGAGATTTGGTTCCCACAGATGCTTTTGAAAATCTCACTGTATAGCTTTTCAGCTGCAGAAAAAGTGCAGCTGCAAATAGAAAAAGAAAAGATACATCTTTGGGGAAACCACAGACTCAGCATATTGTCTTCTCACCTACTATTAGAAAGCTTTGTTCACAGTATTGTTGTAAAGACATTATTGTAGTTTAACCTTGGAACATCTGTAAAACACAGCAGCAGAAAATCCCTCAGGTTCACATGCTGTAGGAGGCTGGCTATGGTTTAGGCAGCCTTATGGACGAAATGATGTCTGTCTTCCCTTGTCTAATCTGGGCAGACTCTTTCAGACAAGAGATGTGAATTGGTAGATTTTTAGTTCCCAGCAAGTAACAAGGGCTGACTTATTTTCCCCCTTTGGTTTATCTTTTGGTATTAAATCACTTACCAACAGCCACTCAGGAAGCGATGGGTAGCAGGTATACCTTATCTGTATTAGCTAATCAGATGCCTGTTGTTTTCAAATATAGCTCCCTCTTGCTTTGCTAATAGCAGCTTTGACTTTTAGTAACCCAACTCATGATTAGGCAAAAATCCTGAGAGTTGTAGAGAGAGGTTTTTTAACTCAGAGGCCTGCAGTCCCTGAAGAAGTTGAAGACTTTTTTAATTCAGAATTTTTCTTTTAAAAATCAGGATAGTAGATTCATAGAAATAATAGAAATATAGACCTTAATGAATTCACCTTTTCCAGCCATCTTCACAGAGGCAGTATCAAACAAGGCTATGCAGTTTCTTGCAAAGGTTTGGGGTTTTTTTCAATCTGCCCCCCCTCCCTGGAGGTTCTAGTAATTCTCATAAGCAGCCTTTTTATTAGTACTTCATCACCAGAAAAGTTAGAAGTTTTCCCTAGTATCCAACTTCTTTGCTGAAAATTAAGTGTATTTCTTCTTAGGTTTCTCCCACTGGATGCTGAGAGTAATTGATAGCCATTTTCTTTGTCATGGACTACTGAAAGACTATTGTGAAGTGTCTCCGTCCCTTCAGTATTCTCTTTTTTTTTTAAGATTTGGTATCCCTCTTTACTTCATTTCTTCTTCATCAGTCATGTTTTCTAAATCTGACATCCTTTTTGTTAATTTCTAAGGATCAAAGTGGTAAGCTATTGGAACCTCAGCTGTAATGTCTTTTAGTGCCCAGCTCTGAAATGCTGAATGTGATTCTGCTGATAAAGAATATTTGAAATAGTCTTCATGTGCCTTTGCTTAGCCAGTACTGTACTGCAAAGAGAACCATAAATGCCGTACAAGACCAATGCCTCCTTTTATTCTGCTTCAGATTGTGTACAATCTCCTGTCTCTGCGGTTCAACAGTCGCATCCGTGTGAAGACGTACACTGATGAGTTGACACCTGTTGACTCAGCAGTGTCTGTGCACAAGGCGGCAAACTGGTATGAAAGAGAGGTGAGTGCCAGTGTACTTGAGAGCCAAGTCTTTGTGGAGAGGGGCTGTGTTTTCCTGATTAAACTGATTCCCAGGGTCCTGAGGAAGAAAGAGAGGTGTTTCCCTGGCTGTCTTTTCAGAATAGGAGATAAAAAGGTGTTTGATTTGCTTTTGAATGGGTTTCTGCATCAGTTTCACTGGCACTGCACAAAGCCAGGCATGTAACTGCAATTTTATGGAAATAATATATGAAGTTGGTTTTGGTTTTTTTTTTTCCCCCCTGATCTAATTCAACTTACTTGGCTCCTTTTCCTTTAGGTTTGGGACATGTACGGTGTTTTCTTTGCCAACCACCCTGATCTAAGGCGAATCCTCACAGACTATGGGTTTGAGGGCCATCCTTTCCGGAAGGACTTCCCACTCTCTGGTTATGTGGAGGTAGGAGATACGCTCATGTCTAAAGTTATGCAATCTCTCCAATACTCTTATCTCTTAATGGCTCAATGTCCAGATGGAGATTAGTGACAAATGGTGTTCCTCAGGGGTCCATATTGGTACCAGTACTGTTTAGTATCTTCATTAACGACATAGTGGGATTGCGTGCACCCTCAGCAAGTTTGCAGATGACACCAAGCTGAGTGGTGTGTTTGATACTCTAGAGGGAAGGGATGCCATTCAGAGGGACCTGTACAGGCTAGACAGGTGGGCCTGTGTGAATGTCATGAAGTTCAACAAGGCTGAGTGCAAGGTCCTGCACCTGGGACGCGGCAACCCCCAGTATCAATACAGGCTGTGGGATGAAGGGATTGAGAGCAGCCCTGCAGAGAAGGACTTGAGGGTGCTGGTGGACATGAGCCAGCAATGTGCGCTTGCAGCCCAGAAAGCCAACAGTATCCTGGGCTGCATCAAAAGAAGCGTGGCCAACAGGTCAAGGGAGGTGATTCTGCTGCTCTACTCTGCTCTGGTGAGACCCCACCTGGAGTACTGCATCCAGCTCTGAAGCCCTCAGCACAAGAAGGACATGGACCTGTTGGAGTGGGTCCAGAGGAGGGCCACAAAAATGATCCGAGGGCTGGAGCACCTCTCCTACGAGGACAGGCTGAGAGAGTTGGGGTTGTTCAGCCTGGAGGAGAGAAGGCTGCAGGGAGACCTTACTGTGGCCTTTCAGTACTTAAAGGGGGCCTATAGGAAAGATGAGGACCGGCTTTTTAGCAGGGGCTGTTGAAATAGGACAAGGGATAATGGTTTTATACTAAAAGAGGGTGGATTTAGGCTAGATATAAGGAAGAAACTTTTTACGCAGCTGGTGGTGAAACACTGGAACGGGTTGCCCAGAGAGGTGGTAGATGCCCCATCGCTGGAGACATTCAAGGCCAAGTTGGATAGGACTCTGAGCAACCTGATCTAGTTGAAAATGTCCCTGCTCATTGCAGGGGGGTTGGACTAGATGACCTTTAGAGGTCCTTTCCAACCCAAACTGTTCTATGATTCTGATTCTGTGATCTGAGTTTCGGTACAGAGATGTGACTACTTTACAATCCTTTGTCTGAAAAGTACTAAGGATGTTTCACTTGTCTGTATTCCAGAGAAGTTGTATACATCTCTTGCATGGAAATTTGAAGTCATCACAAAGTATCATCTGTAATAAGGCAGCCTAAGGCCAGAGACATTACGCAAATTTCACGTGCTGTATACCAAAGAGATTTGTCAGGCAGAGAAAGTGCTTCTGCTTTTAGCATGTCTTCTGGAAGATTAAACTTCCCACTGCAAAACTGAAGATTCCCAGAGGAATAAAGGACTGAACTGATCTTAATGGAGTTGGAACTCCACTTTGCTGAGTTTTTGTAGGCTGAGGTTATAAAACTAGCTGAAGTGACTGTTGCCATTTATCAAATATTTACCTCTGTATGTCAAACCACAAGTGAAATGAGTGTGTTTGGTATCTGCCTAGTTTCAAATGACCATCTTGCAGAAGCAGTCATATTTGGTGCAGTTCTAAGACTGAGTTGAGTCTCAGGAGAAAACAGTGAGTTTCTGCAGGCAACAGAGGGTTTAAAAAAAAAATAGAAATAACAGTGATTGAGGACCAGGCAGCATCTCCTGAGCTGTGGCTGGAGATCTGGACTGGCACAGTGAGGATGAATCCAGCCAATCAGAAGTGTCTGGTACTCACCTGCATTTCACCCTGGTTGTCTTTTTGTCCCGTGTTGTGAGTGTTACGCTGAGAAGCGCAACTAAAACCAAACAAACTGCCATACTATAAACATTCATGAGAGCAGTCCCCAGCTATGCCAGGTGGATAGGCCACCTTATTGCGGTGACTCGGGAGCAATTCCTTTGTCATATGACAAACTAAAAGTGTTATTCCATGTGGACTTCATATGGACTGTAGGCTGGGCACTCCTAATGCAGGGTGGTTAGTCAGGACACCGGAGGTACGTGGTAGCAGAGAGGAGGGTTTTCCTGGAGAGTCCAGAGGTCTTGGTGGCATCTGGAGGACTCTTGTTTAATAATGAGGAGAACTGAAGCTGTGGCAGAGGCCTGTGGCCTATCCATGGCATAAGAATTAGGACTGCCTGTACTGGAGGGTGGTCTGAGTACAGCTGTACTGCGTACGGCTAATAGCAGAGATAACTGTGGAGACTGTATAAAAATGACTGGCCTATGTTCTTTGCACTGTTCTAGGTGCGGTATGACGATGAAGTGAAACGGGTAGTGGCAGAGCCTGTGGAGCTATCTCAGGAATTTCGCAAGTTTGATTTGAATAGTCCTTGGGAGGCATTTCCTGCGTATCGTGCAGCTCCAGAACCCCTGAAAATAGAAGCAGGAGCCAAGAAAGAAGATGCAAAATAGCAGCAGAATGGAGAGGATGCACAGCACCATCCTTTCTGTTCTAACATAGTATTTATAATAATAAAAATTGATGTGAGATTGCTGCCTGTTGTGGTCACATGAAGAATGTTGTTTTCAAACAGGGTGAGGGATGCTAATTTACAATCCTGATAATCCAACTGGTAGATGTTTATCTGATGCTTTGAGTTGTAAGACACTGGATTTGTCTTTTTGGTTTGCAAATTGAATGGAGTCTAGGCATTCCCCATGGCTAAGATGCTTTATGTACACTGCTGCTGCTAGCTGTCCCTGCGGGCATAAATGATAACCTGAGCACTCACTAGGAGGCTGTACTGAAGCAGCTGTGTAGCTTAAGCAATGGAACAGCAGTATCTCGGCTCCAAGGTGGGTGTTGGGAAGACTGTAATAATATAGCAAACAGGCAAAGCTTTTGTAAATGGTTCTAATATAGTTGTTATTAGAACGACACGAGGAGTACCTGGATCCAGACCAAATCAGCTGTGGAAATCTCTGCATTGTTTCTTCTAGGTCAGTGCCTGTTCTGGCAGAAGGAGCAGTTGCAGGTAACCTCTCACGTGCCACTCCTTCATGTTGGCTTTTTCTTTACAATCAAGCGGTCTTTACTTTTCCAGCTTCTTCGGATTGTGCTTTTTCCTGCAGTCAAAAACATTTCCCTTCCTTCTCCCAGAGGCAAGAGGCTATGCCTTTTTGTCACTATTCCAATTATTTTGAGCTGTATGATATAACAGCATTACCGCTATCTTTGCTCTTGTGGAAAATCTCAGCTCTTTCCAAAAAAACTGGAAAATACTGTTGTTTCAGTCCACCCACCGCCTGTCTGAATGGGATTACATTACAGTGTCATCAATTAATAATGTCCCTTGTCCTTAGTCCAGAAAATGTGTAATGCAGTTCTGCATCAGAAAGTTGACTGACCTCATTAAGGTCTCAAAACTATTGTATAAGAGATTACATAAAACAATTCACAAGCTGTTTGTAGAGATTCCCTGAATCACTACTTAAGCTTTTAAATCGTAAGAGCACTAATTAAAAAAGGAGTTTGGGCCAGATCAGAGTATGGGATGGAGGAAGGGATAGGACAATAACAAATTCAGTTAAGAAAAAGAAGGGACAAGTAGGCATCGTGACTAGAATTTTATCTGTTTGCAAGAATAAAGAGCTGAACTGTATGGTAAGAATCAGGTTTCATGTTTGTCTGTTTCCACCCCAGCCTTGTAAGCATTTATTTCTTAAATTCTTTTTTTTTTTTTTTTTTTTGTTTTTTTCTTAATTTTTTTTTTTTTTTTTTTTTTTTAATTTGTTTCAGGCTGCTATGGCTGGCAGTGTTTGGGATGTGACTCAGTGTTTTTTAGTTAAAATGAATAGCATTTGCCACTCACCTTAAAACTTACAGATCTTATGGGAAAGAAGAAAGCGAAGGGAACACAAATCAGCAGAAGTTTGGGGTTTTATACAATTCTTAGCTCCACTTGAATCTGCCATCAATTGAGCTGATTAAATAGGAAATGTACTTTTAGTCCATCCTACAACGTGTTCCACAGCTGGTTCTGTTTTCTGTTGCAGTGGCTCTTTTTGCATGCCGATGCCTATTGCACAAGACAGAAAAGTTCCTGGCGCCACTTCTGTTACTGTGAAAATTCTTTATAAAGCTAATTTCCCCACCCCGTTCTCCCTCCCCCATCCCAGGTTGCTTGAGACCGTGCCAAGACTCACGGTCTGTGTATCATAAAAAATACGTATTTCCCAGTACGTTAAGTCAGAAGACTGATGGTAGCAGGAACAGAAGGAAAACTGCCCTTTAAACATAATGTTTGTGCAGAGGAAGAATTTGATTGATGTAACATCAAGAAACTTAAGACACAATGCCCTGTCAAGTTAGACAAAAGGCAAGGTTTGCTGAAGACTCTGTGTACTGGAGTCAAAGTAGTCAGCCCTGTGGGGACAAGCATTGGCTCCAGCAGGTCTTTGGTATGTGGAATAGTTGCTAATGGACCCAAATCTCTTCTCGTTAAGAGAAGCCTGGGAGCTCATGAAGAGTGCAATTCACTCACCCAGATGCATTATCCCAGGGCACAAGAGGTTACACAGCCTCACAAAGCACTGCCAATGTTGACACACTACCTCCTCCACTGCTCCTGAGCCTCAGGGGCCATCCTTGCCCATGGAGCCTGCTCGCTCTGTTCCTTGCGGCTGGTGGGCACGCACTTCATGCTGGGGAAGGTTGTGGTCAGCTTGGTCAAGCACACAGCTGTCTTCCAAATCCTCTGTCCCTGCCTGGTCCACGCTATCAGCCTCCATGAAGCTTTTTTGCCTGGGTTGGACTTCCCAACTGTAGGAGGATGTTGGATGAGATGTAAGTCAGATGTAACTGACTTACACACTATTCAGAAGAGAAATTTTCTGGTACTGCAGGGACAAACAGACTTTAGGTGATGACTCACAGTCACCATGTTGAGCTTCCCCAGCTGAGTAGGTTTTGCTGGTGTTTTCCAGAACCCTGGCATTTCTCCCTACAGATGGGTGAGCAGACTCTCCTCCATTTATCTCCTTCTTCCTTCCCCTCTTTCCTTAGCCTCATCTTCCTCCCCCGAGCACCTGCCAGACAGGCCCACGCTGGGGACTGAGGTCTCCCCATGTTCTGGGCAAGATGTTCAAAGCAAGAGGTTTCTCCCATTCTATAAGCAGAATTTCCCTTTCATGGAGGAAAAGGGAAGAGTCTGCCTGTCTCCCCGCAGTCCCATCTCAAAGAAACCTCCCTTCCAAAGAGGCTTTTCTGGTGCTGTTAACCACATGTTGTGCCTTCTGCCACTGCCCTGGACCACATGTGTCTCTAAGCACAGCCTGCGTGGGTCCCTGTGACAGGATGCCTGTCCCAGCATACAGATGTAATCTGCAATGGGACAAGGAAGCAGCAGAAATCTACCATTGTTGAGAGGACGGGTAGCTTCAGCTGAGAGGCTGGGTAGCTTCAGCTGTATAAACACTGCTATGTATGTGTTTATAATTGAGAAATCAAAGATCCAAACAAGGTAACAAAATAAAAGGTCTGTACAAACAATGTAATGGTGGATGGAGGCGCTAAATAAGCCAAGAAGCAGACACAAGGATTTAGGGCCTGCAGGAGTCTGTAATGTAAGAACCAGATGAATTCTTCCCAGCAGATGTGGCCACTTGTGATCGTGGAAAACTGAGGTTAGGGTGGCTGCCACCTCACTGCTCTCTTTCCTTAATAGTTTCTCACTCCATTGCCCCAGCTCCCCTGTGACAGGCAAAGCTTCAGCCACCTGGAACAAATTTTGCATCAGTGTCCAACCAGCTCCTGCAGTTTTTGATCCCTCATATCTCGTTCCCCTTTCCCATCTTTTTGCTTCAGGAGGTCATAGTGGAAATCATGAAACCAGTCAAGGTGCCCCTGCAGAAACCTGGCTTGATGTGACGTTTTGAAACTGCTCCTACAACAGACGGTATGACCAGAGGGAGTGTGGAGGGGCAGGGTTGTGCACACTCAGCTGTGAATACCTGGCAAGGACAAGATCCCTTGGGAGGAGCAGGTGCACCGCCTAACATTGCAATCGCACATGCTGGGACTATGTGCAGCTATCAGAACTCAGGCTTGTTTCTGTGCACCATATAACTACCGCTGCTTTACAAAAAAATAAGGCATATGTTTATCACTCTGCAATTGCCTTTCTGTGCGGGATAGTAATTCTACAAAATCCCCGCTCAGGTGAAGGCAGCATCTACCACTGATGCTTGTCCCCCGCCTGCCACTGTATCAGTCACATAAGCACAGCCTCTGAGCGTCCTCTCTTCTCCCTCCCACCATGTGTATCCTCCTCTAGGCACTTCAGCTGCAAGCTGTTCCTAGGAAATTTTCCTGTTGACAAAAATCATATATGGCCTTTGCAGATGTTGGCCAAAATCCTGGACTCCTCCTTGTGTCACATGCTGCATGATAAAGGGAGGTTCTTTCATGGCCCATGAGCTGCAGGGCTTTTTTGTGTAGTGACTTCTAGACAAAGTCATGTGTACACTGTGGGTTGTAAGGGACTCCGGCACAAAATAGAAGGCACATCAATCTCACTGCACAGATGGGTCATTGGAGTCTGCCTCTTGAGTAGCATATTATTCACAGTTTAATAAAAGATATCGCATCCCAGAAGAAAGGGGTGCAACTAAAGAGTAAGCAGCAGAAAGTAATGAAAACTGAAAGAAGCATAGTCTGACTTGAAGGTAGCCAAGGCTATGACAGAAACACAGGTCTTGTTTTGATTCAAATGGCTCTGGATATTGAGGGCCCCTCCTCCCTTGATAAATCTGTGGGCCTCTTCCATTTTGTGCTGCTGTTCTTCATAGCTGGTGAGAGTCCACATATTGACAGGTACAACTATAGATCATGGAAGTTTCAGAAGACTTGCTACTTTGCACACTGATAACTTACTAACTGGAACATCATCCCTACTGTCAGTAAACTATCTGGTGATAGCAGTCATTACAAACTAACACCCTGTAACTTGCTGAGAAAGATACGCATTTCAGCTCTACCTCCTCTCTTTTCCAGGCAGACTTCTTTCCCCAAAGAACACCTTTAACCTGAGGGAGATGGTATTATTACTTCTTTATAAATATTATTACTTATTTGTATAACCCTGGCATCCAAGAACCTTTTGGAGAACCCAGGACAATACTGTGCCATACAGAGTAGAAATACAGAACAGCTTGACTGGGGATTGGACAGTAATAAAAGTGCAAAGATGTGTAGAGAACAGATATCTGCTGTGAAGGGAATCAGAAGAAGTTTCATCTATGTAATTCACAACATCTAAGACAGACCATGCTCATTGTAACCCAGAAGTCCTGTCACAGGAGAGGACCATGAGGTGCTAAAGCTTGGCAGGCTCTGATTCTTGCTGTTTGCTAGGTCAGTATACTGAGTTCTTCCTCCGGGAGAATGGAACAAGTGACCTTTCTTCTGCCTGCTTGTATATTTTGGCTGCTACTGCCCTTCCATGAATCTGCACAGACTGCTGGCCTTATCTGTTTGTGATGCTTCAGGAT